GAGCGACGGTCGGCCTGTGCTGTCATCAGTGCGGCCGATCACCACCAGGAGCGCCACCAGCAGCTGCAGCGCCGCGCGCATCGCGCGATGGAAATTCAGGTGCTTGGAGCGCGCAATAGATGTCGCTGGTATCCCAACGATCGAGCGTGACCCCACCCGGTCAAGGTCAGGTGAAGAAACAGTCGCGACGATCCTGGCGCACAGCCTGGGACTGGTAATTTTGCCACAACAAGAGTAAAGCAAGTCCAGCTCCTCAAGCAGGTAAGCAGAGAGGAACACAGTATTAACCACAACATTAACGATTTACTTGCCGTACACCAAGAGTTCCCTCCGCAATAATTCACGTATGGAACGCGGAGCACCACACATCACTCCGCTCTCCTCCACGTCCAGCAATCAACTTCAATGAGATCGTTGCATATTGATGGACCTGCGTAGAGTTCGCTGTTCAGGCTTCTTCCCTTAACCCGCGCACCGACCGGGGGGGGGGGGGGCGGATATGCGTCCCCCCTGAGGTTTTTTGCGAATAGCGGAAAACCGCGCCGCGAAATTTGGTACGACTATTCTCTCATCAATTTTACACATGGTGTGCAAGTTTGAACCTCCTAACTTTTAAGGTCAGGTCACCAGGTCACTTTGAATGACCCAACCTCAAGTCACTTTTTTGCAGCTTTGTCACCGTGCCAGAGCTACAGTAGATGCCGGAGGCCTTTGAAAGTCGCAGGATGTTATTAGGTCATTAGTAGCTACAAGTTGTTTATCTCGGAATCTTGATATCGATGACCTAAGGTCAGGTCAAGTTCTCGACCTCCTCATTATAAGTCAATGGGGGAAAAATCAACTCCCTGTTTTTACCCCTAAACCGCGTCGGAATTGCCCCATATACCATACATGACTTCATATACGATCAACCTTCACTACCTTGAGGTCTGTTTTGCTGTTGGTCAGCTGTAAGGTCATGTGACGTCATCAAAGGTACCAGCGGTTTTTTGCCAATAACACCGTACAGGAACAAGATACAGCTGCGCGGATGGTCTCATTGTGTTCAGATCGTCAAGACGCATCGAATGATATACATGATGACCTCGAGGTCACGTGACCTGAGGTCAACCTTTGACCTTGACCTTTCGAGGTCAACATATATGTCATTCAATGCGGATTGACGAGAGGATCACGATGATGCCCTTAGTTTTTTCCTATCTTCAGTAATTCGAAAGTTATTTGAGAAAAAACTCCATATCTAGCGCCGCCATTTGGACTTGTTGACCCCTGTGACGTCATCTTTGACCTGACCTGAAAATGACCTTTGTAAAAATTGTAGACCTTGTCCGTGCGTATCCGATGCCGTTTACCACTTGTCGCTATCTTGCTTCGTTCTCGAGATCTCCATCCGGCCCCCCGTCGGTTCTAAGTTGGCGCAGACCCCCGTCGGTGCACGGGTTAAATCTGGCGACAGCATCGTACACCATTCTGACTTTTGTCGTGGAACGATCGTTCCTAACGACCGGGAAATGGGGGGCAAAAACCAGCCGTCCAGTTCAGCTGCCTGTCGTTCCTCGCCTTCAAGCTTCTTCATGTATCCTTTGGACAGATAGTCTTCAAATATGGCGTCATACTCCGTCAGCAGGTCGGCTCTCTTCAGAGACTGTTCTGTCTTGGTTAGCCTTTTTTTACTGCTTGGTCATAGTTTCCGCTCAGGTTTGGTCTGTCAGCTCGCCATGGCACAGCCACCTCGTATCGTTCGCCATCAAACTTCATGGAATCCTTTACCTTCTTTTCTTCTTGTTTTTCCTTCATGTGACAGAGCTTCTTCATCTGCATTGTGCAGTGTGCACCCTAAGAAGATCCAAGCTGTTCATGGCTTTCATGGCTTCGATTTCTTCTTTGTTTTTTTTTCCAGTTTCAGCGGAGCTCGTACATCATCAGGTATGTGCATCTTTAGATGCGTTCTCATCGTCTTGCTGTTGCTCCCCTGCTTCACATCACGCAGCGGGCCGAATGCCGTCTACCCCAGCAGCGTCTTGGTTCCCACTGGATCACATTCGCCACCTCTTACTGTCTCGAATGGAACAAAGAGGGACGTCGTGTTCTGTGTCAGCCCGATGAGCACATCCGCATCATTCTTCTCCGTGCCCGCTGGAAATGGCAGGGACTTCAGATGCTCCCACTTGAACTTATGCCGTTCCAGTCCGCTGTCGTAGAAGCGCTGGAGAGGTCGTCAATGATGAACATGTTGACCTCGGTCCTAAAGCTGTCGTCAAGAGAACTCATCTTCACTTTCGATTTCTGCATGGTCACGTGCTTGTTTCCTTGCACTGTTCCCAGTTCGAGCTTCTCTTTGAACCCACTGAGGCCAAGTTCTTCAGTAACAGCTTCCGTGACAAAACTGGCGTCTGAACAGGAGTCTAGGAGCGCGTTGACCACCACAGATCGGCCTGCCCAGCTCAACTTCACCGGCACTGTTTGGAATGCTACGGAGCTGGCTTCTTCAGATGTATGTTCTGTGCTGAAGACTTGAGAAACATTCGCGTTTGTCCTCTGTGGTGTCTCCAGAACAGCGGAAGTCTCGGCAGCTGGTGCCTCTGGCTGTGACGTTACATTCGTTTCAGCATGCAATAGCGTATGATGATTGCCGCCACACGTCGAGACTGAGCAGCCGGGATATCCGCGGCAATTGCGCCCGTGGTGAATCCCTGACAAACAGCGGAAGCAGACACCTTTTGCCTTGCAGAAATGGTACCTGCTGCCGACTGTCCACTGACGGAACATTGGACACACCTCCAACATGTGTTCTCCACTGCAGTATATGTTGGAAAGCTTTCAGAGCTTTTAGCAAATCAGCGTTTGGCTCAGCTTGAGCTTATTCCGTAGAAGTGAAGAAATGATAGAGACACACTGAAAGGAAAATACATGCACTGTCAGGCGACAGCTCATGCAGCAAAAGGGACAACCGACGGCAAGCACATGCAACACACATAACCAAGCATTTACAGCCAGCATGCTAAGCGACACATGCGCTAGCACCGACAAGACATCATAACAGGTACACTGTTTCTGTCTACTTTCCTTGTCGGAGGCTGTGCTTCTGGCATTGAAAGTCTTGTTGAAAGACTGTCTTTCATCATGTTTTGATCTTTTTCATTGTTTTCTTTCTTCGAACTGACTGTTGCCACTTCCGGTGCCACTTCCGGTGCCACTTCCGGAGCCACTCATCTCTTGGGCGTCTCTCTCGCATACTGCTTCATCTGCCAGCCAGCTGGCAAAAAGTGTGAAGCTGTCCGTTTCCTTCTGGTGTTGAACCCATCGCTTGTAGCTTTTAGGTAGCTGGCGGGCAGCTTTTCCTGAACAAGGATGTAATATGCAGAAATATGTGACAAATCTCCGGCATAGCCATGTTCTTCCAGGTTTGTACTCTGCACTCGGTCGGCTAAATCTTCCAGATCTCTGTATGAGCCGTGACGGACTGGCTTTAGCTGACGGATTTCATCAAGTTGGTACCGAATCCGCCGTCCCACTCCTCCATACTTCCGGTCTAGCTCGCTTCTGGCCTTGCTGTACCCAGTTTCATTGGGGCTGTATCTTTGAACCATCTTCAGGGGATCTCCTGCTAGACAAGTGCGAAGTTGAATCATTTTAAATTTGTCCGGGATCTTTTCATTGCCAACAAACGCATCAAATGTGTTTTTCCAGTCTTCATATTTGCGTTTATCCCCAGAGAACACCGGCAGAGACGGACACTTCAAGCCATGAGCGCTCCAGTCTATACGATCTGCGTCTTGCTTTTCTCCCGTCGGTGCTTTCGTCGATGTTTCCGGCACTTCATCACATCTCTGGGCATTCGCAGAAGCTAAACTCAGTTTATCACGAATCATTTTGTTTGCAAAACGGACCGATTCCCTTGCATCCTTCTCCATTTGTTCAACTTCAGTCATCAGCTCCTCTCTTTCCGTTTGATCGCTCATCTTCTCACTTAAAGGAAAAGGGCCACCTTTAACATGGGGATTGAAACTGAGATAGCCATCTTGTAGCCCGTGTCCGAAAACCTATCTGTCTACCTCCTTACGGCCGATTTCGGCCTCCATTCGTAGTTATCGGCAATTTTAAAAGAAAATACGCCAGGAATGCGTCCTTATCCAAGGAATGCGTTCTTATCCGACAATACAGCCACTCGCGGCGAGGCTTTGGTTTTTTACCAATCAGCTCCAACCAGCTCAGCTTTAACCAATCAGCTTATCTGACACAATCCGACGAGTCTGTCTTCTGAACGCTGATTGGCTTGAGTGTGACGTCATCGCTATGCCATCATACAGTAGGTGCCGTAGAGAGTATCAACATTCAACATAGTACCAATATGTTAAATAGTTTTAAATACTTTGATACGGCTTTGGCAGGTAAACAAGTTGTTAGTTTTCAGATTCTATTGGGTAACTGCGTAGGTGACAGGTGTAACAGAGGTGTAACGCAGGTGTAACGTAGAAAACCTGAGAAACACACAGAAAGAAACGCACATCATAAATATGAACATAAATCGTAACACTAAGTGACTTATGAGCATGAAAAACATCCGAAATATAGGTAAATTAGGTAAATCGGTTATCAACGTGATAAATCAATGTATGGAAACGATATCACAGATTTTATCCATAGGTAACAATATAAGCTGATACATAGGTAACAAAACGACAATATTCTTTGATTCATACATACTCTGTCCCGAATCTGGCCGGGTGCCAAACTCTGTTCATGGCATGATGACTGCCAAAGCGAAAATGGCGTCCTCGACCACGCCGCCGGTGAAAAGCAAATACGTCTCTGCCGCGCAGCTGACGCCGCGACTTCAGTGAGTCGCAACCACTAAATATTACTTGACCAGCGGTGGAGCAGCGCCGCTACATGGCTCCCCAATTTGCAAGTTGCAAATTCCTTAACACACTACGAACATCCAACAACAAAAAACGGCACTTCTGCTACGACGGCTATCGTCGCTCACACGCGAGTATTCACTCAGGGCTCCTCGACCGGGAATCACTCTCGGTATGCAGGCAGCTGGGCTCTGGCTGTGAATCAGTCCGCATGAGGAGGATCACCCGGCTCACTGGCCGAATCTTCAAGCTTCCACCGATCTGCACCGAGACCTTGCGGACAAGGCCGTCCGCGCCCGGGTGCACGTTGACAATCTGACCGAGCGGCCAGCGCGGCCGCGGCTCTGCGTCGTCCATCACCGAGACGACGTCGCCCGGACGTAGGTTAGGCCGCCGGTGCTGCCATTTCTGGCGCTCTTGCATCGCCGCTGTCGTTAAGATCTCCCTCCTCCACCTCGTCCAGAACTGGTTCGCGAGGAACTGGACCCGCCGCCAGCGTTGTCGGACGTACAAGTCTACGGGGGTGAAGGACCCTGGATAGGGGGTTGCTACTCGACCTTTGAGAGTTAGTATCTGATTGGGGTTGAGGGGCGTAAGCGTTTCGTCTGGAGAGCTTGACACGTATGTTAGTGGGCGGCTGTTGACGATTGCCTCGTAGCCGCTTGCATGTGACGCAGCTCAGAATGTGGCTGCTCACAGCAGAACGGCCGCCGACAATCCAGTAGCCGGCCGCTCGGAGTTCATTGAGCGTCGAACCTCGGCCAGAGTGGCCCGTCTTCTCGTGGTAGTGCTTCACTAGCAGCTCTGTGACGTGACTGTGCCCAGGTAGAATCGCTGGGTGACTGACTTCTGGTGGCATCGCGCTTCTGCTGATCCGGCCACCGACGCGAATAACTCCGTCCTTGTCCAAATACGGATCCAGGCGGAAGAGACGCGACTTCTTGGAGAACTTCTTTTCATTTTTTGCTGTGCTAAGGAGCGCGTACTCATCTTGAAACGCCTCCTTCTGTGTTGCTTTCAGGATCTCGGTTTCTCCGCGATGGAGCTCCTCCACCGTGAGGGGCTTGCCGACTCGTAGATCCTGACTGTAGACTTTTGCTGTTGTGCACCGACCGGCGTTCACTTTTGCTGCTAGTACATGCTTGTAGCGTACGCAGAGCGCTACAGACTTCTTGGCTCGGTGCCAGTTGGAGAAGTACGTCATTCTTCTCGGTAGGTCGGACATTGGAGCTTCTGCGGCATCTTGCTTGTCCTTAGACCGTTCACCCGTCACCTTGTGGCTTTCATCTTGTGGTGTGACAGGCGTCAGGTTCTCATCTCCTTCACTGGATGCGCAGAGCTCGTTGACTTCCTTCATCATCGTCTTCTCTTTTGGCATCTTCTCCTCATTCTCCTTCGTCATCTTCTTCTCCTTCTCCTCTTCCTTCGTCATCTTCTTCTCCTTTGCCTCTTGTTTAGTCATCTTCTTCTTCTTCTCTTGCTTCTGGCTGGTCACTGTCTGGAACGTGGACCGCTTGACTTCTGGATCTTCGTCCGCTACGCCGAACTGTTCCTTCGTTACTGGCAGGTTCTGCTGGGCTGTCAGGAATGGTGGTCCGTGCCACCAGAGACTGCTCTCAATCAGCTCGGCGACTGTTGCACCTCTAGAGGCGAGGTCTGCTGGGTTCATCTTGGACTCTATGTAGAGCCACTGTTCTGGGTTGGTTGACTGTCGTATCTCTTGCACCCTGTTGGCGACGAGTCCCACTATTCCCCAGCCGAGCATCGTTCTCACCGCCCACGGGTCGTCGTTGTCTCCAGGGATGATCTCTCTGGGCTTGATGGCTCTGGCACAGTTAATGCCGAGCAGTAGACCGATCTCCGCATCCGCGAACTCGTCGCGGATGTCGTCTGCAAGCTGGCGGAGATGGGGCCACTTCTCGCAGGTTTTGGGTTGCGGTATCAGACTGCGATCAGCTGGTATGTGAGCACGAGTGTACATGTCTGGAAGATCTGTTACACTGCCGTCAGCCAGACTCTCGATGCGAAGATCCTTCACTAACTGACTTGAGAATGATGTCGTGCCGGCCATGGTACTGAGTTCCAGCTCTACTTCTGAGCCGCTGACTTGTAGCGTCTTGCAGACTGAGTCAGTCATGAAGCTGGCGTCCGACTGGGCGTCCAGTAGCGCGTACGTGATGAGCGCGCGCTCCGGACGGTGCCTGTGGAAGACCTTCACTGGCACGATCATAGTGTGACAGTGAGATGAGTTGTGCTCCTGCATGTCGCCTAGACTGGATCGCAATGTTGTCGCTTTTGCTGACGTCTCCGGGGACGCACGCTGTTGCGACTCTCTTGCTTGCGATGTCTTCCGTGTGTCTTCCTTTGTCTTGATTTGGATGACGTCATCGTGCAGCAGAGATGGGTGGAGACGCTGACAGACTGAACACCTCTCTTTCCTGCGGCAGTCACGCCACATGTGGCCGGGTCGCAGGCAGCCTCGGCACAGCCTCTTCTCTTCAACTGCGTGTCTTCTGTCTGTGAGCGTCATCTTGATGAACTTGCTGCATGCAGTCACTGAGTGGTCAGCACCACAGATGACACACTGTCTGCTTCTGGTGACAGACTTCTCTCTCGCTGGGTTACTCTGATGACCACACGCGTTGCAGACCTCAGCGGACGATGAGAAGGTGTGCACCTTTCCTCGAGGTCTTGCTCCCCTGGTGTCAGCTTCACCTTCCATCTGCATGCTGACAGGACCGCACGCGATCCGAGCTTCGGTGGTTATGAAGTCCACGAACGCTGCAAACGTTGGGTACCGAGGAGAGCGCCCGAACACGCTACTGTCCACGACGCGTTTCCACCTGTCGGAGACGTAGTATGGCAATTTCTTCAGCACCAGTTGCACTGTGTACGGGTCGTCCAGCGTCCTCATACCAGCAATGGCACTTGAGGCCATCAGACAGTGTTCCAGGAAGTCTGCCAACTGTTGAAGTCCCTTGTTGTCTCCTCCTCTGATCACCGGCCAGTCTCGCAGTCGCTTGGAGTACGAGTTCGCCAGCAGGTAGTCGTTGCCATACCGACTGACCAATTTCTCTTTGGCCTTGGTGTAGGCGTCGCTTGTTCTTAGATGTAAGAACCCGGCGATTGCACTGTGGGCGACGCCGTCAGTATATCTTCCCAAGAAGTGGAGCCGTTCTATGGGGCATGAAGTTCTGTGTTCCACGTAGGTTTCAAACCCTTTGATCCAGACTGGAAACTTCTCGATGTTACCAGTGAACAGTTCAGGCTCCAAGACTGGCAGGCGGTTCTCGTTGTTCTTCTCAGTGAGGAGCTTCGCCAGGGTTGACAGAACGTCAACTGCTGAGGATGACTGGTTGAGTTGGTCTCTTGCAGGTTGCTGATTACTGATGTCTCCAGGCCCTGCAACAGCTCCAGCCTGTGGAACAGGGTAGGGAGGAAGCATGGGCATGGATGCAGTAACATCCCTTGCAGCATCAGATGAGACATTGAGGTGGGTTGCTGGCGGCAGCTGTGCTGTCGCATCAGTGGAGGCGTTGAAGCGAGTCGCTGACAGCAGCTGTGTTGTCTCATCAGTGCAGGTGTTGAAGCGGCCTGCTGACAGCAGCTGTGCTGTCTCATCGGTGCAGGCGTCGAAGTGGCCTGCCGACAGCAGCTGTGCTGTCTCACCAGTGGAGGAGATGAGACGGGTTGCTGGCAGCAGCTGTGTTGACTCCTGAGCGCACATCCCCTCACCTTCCTCGAACTTCAGCAGTGCTGCACTCTTAGCCTCCAGGATGCTCTTTTCCTCTTCTACTTGCAGCTGCTCCATCTTCCACTTCAACTCCTGTTGCTGTCGTTCGATGGCTAGGCGTTGCTTCGTAGCTGCTTCCTTTGCCATCAACTCTGCTCTTCTCTGTCCCTCCTCCAGACGCAGAAGACCTATTCGGGAGCGAACAGAGCCTGAGGATCTGCCTGATGCTGACGGAGCAACAGCTGCCTTGTGTGTTGGGTCTGTTGGTTCCAGTTTGTTTTCCATCTTCAGTTTCATCTCGTTGAACTTGCAGATGACTTGCCTGTGCTCTTCTGTGTGTGGTTCCTTGGCGTCTTCATCTAATAGAGCTCGTAGATCTGCTTCTGTTTGCACGAACATGACATAGTTCCTTTTCCATGAGATGTAGGCGGTTCGAAGATCTTCTTCTTGTCTTGTGCCACTTGTTTGTGTTTCTTCTAGTGCCTTTACAATCTCATTTCCCACCTTGATTAGACTCCTTTCACATTTCTTGTAGACATCTTGTTTCAAGCTCAGCTGATAGGCTTTGCCAGCCTCTGTCATCTTTCTCACTCTTGTCGTGTCAATGTTGCCTTTATTTGTGTCCGCCATGTTCTGGGACTGGTTAGTGGGACAACATCTACGAACTACAAATTCTACATGAGAATTGGAACAGGTTTCAGCATTATTTAGTACAGGAAAAATGACACTGGTTAAAAACTACATTGGGCCGATACAAGGAGAGTTTTCTACTGATACGGCTTTGGCAGGTAAACAAGTTGTTAGTTTTCAGATTCTATTGGGTAACTGCGTAGGTGACAGGTGTAACAGAGGTGTAACGCAGGTGTAACGTAGAAAACCTGAGAAACACACAGAAAGAAACGCACATCATAAATATGAACATAAATCGTAACACTAAGTGACTTATGAGCATGAAAAACATCCGAAATATAGGTAAATTAGGTAAATCGGTTATCAACTTGATAAATCAACGTATGGAAACGATATCACAGATTTTATCCATAGGTAACAATATAAGCTGATACATAGGTAACAAAACGACAATATTCTTTGATTCATACATACTCTGTCCCGAATCTGGCCGGGTGCCAAACTCTGTTCATGGCATGATGACTGCCAAAGCGAAAATGGCGTCCTCGACCACGCCGCCGGTGAAAAGCAAATACGTCTCTGCCGCGCAGCTGACGCCGCGACTTCAGTGAGTCGCAACCACTAAATATTACTTGACCAGCGGTGGAGCAGCGCCGCTACATACTTTTTCGCAAATTGTGCACTTCTGGCACCAGTTTTAAAAAGAAAATGAAAAATAATAATGTCAAAATGAAAAACAACGATATCTTCATATTTCACGAAGGTGGCCCTTTTCCTTTAAAGTTTCTCCAATTTCGTTCAATTGCTCAGTCAGCTGATCTAGAGACTCAAAGATGTCATCTGCTTTTTCTGCCGTTATTTCTGCACTTTCTACCAGTGAGTTTAACCTCCTCTGAGCCCTATGATGCTCTCTCACTGTCATTGCCATCTTCTTCTTCAGAGACATTTCGGTTTCTTCCGCGGCACCAGAGTCCCCGGAAAGTTCCGTTCCTTTCCTTTTCTTCCCTGCCATCCTTAAATCTTGCTGAATAGTGAATATGAATATTGAATCTTAAGCTCTCCAATAAGTGACAACTTACTGCTTACTTTAATTCAACTCAAACTTCAGAGTCACATTCATATCAGCTACTCAGGCACATTCACATCAACTACTCAGGCAAGGTTCAAAGGCAATGTCAAGTCACACTTAACCCGCGCCCCGCTGGGCGGGGCTATTCAGCCATACGCGCCCTGCTGGGGGGGGGGGGGGGCAGATTCTGCCCCCTGTCTAACTTCCGAACCGATGGTCGTAGAAAGACGGGGAAAACGACAATCGGAAGCTCTCAACAAGGCAGATCTTTAGAGCCCAATTTTTTTTGCTTTATTAGGTCAGAGGTCAGTTCAAGGTCAGGTCAAGGGTACAAAATGCAAGTTTCTACATTATCGGCCTTGCACCGTGGTTGCCGAAGAATGGACGGAGACTGATTGCCCAAAACGTGTTCTTAGGCTACCAAGACAATATTCGTTGCATAAAATATCATTCAAAGGTCAAGGTCAGGTCAGGTCATGGTCACCAAAAAACAACATATAGAAAAGGGCATGTGTACACATGTTGTATGGGTCATTTTATTCATAGAATTCAATAGGCACGCTCCATAAGTGATATGGACCACATCTGGATGAATTTCAGGCCGAGGTCAGGTCAAGGTCTTGCAAGTGAGGTCAAATTTTTAAGTTGGTTGTTAAGACCTAAAAAGGTGTCTATCTGATGCAGTTTTTCACGGCGAATCGAATGGTGCTATTTTTGTTTCCTTATGAGGTCTAGAACTTCCAATTTTTTTTTCTGAAATTTTGTGTGTCGTGACGTCATAAAATTTTGAATAACTCCCACATTTTTGAACCGATTGTTCTAAAAATTGGTATGTAGGTGCACATAGACCACTTCTCTGACATATATTCCGTTTTTTTCGATACACTCAAAATTCAGGATTTTATAATTATTTTCCCAAAAATCTTTTTTTCGTAAAATATTGGGCCAAAATCCAAAATTTTCAAAAAACCGAGCTAGCCATTTGATAGACAAAGTAAAATCACGTATAACCTTTTTTTGTTACGTCTTGATTCCTTTAAGAATGATGATGATAGCGGCGTTTGAAATTTTGACGTTTTTGAGGCGAAAATGGCGGACATGACGTCATTAAAACGTCATTTTCTCAAAAAATTCCGATAGATTTCGCTCACATTTTCAGGGAACGTGTCAAATTGATGTATGATAAGGTACTTGTCGAAAAACGGGAGGGGGGCATATTCTGCCCCCCCCCCCCTATCGGGGCGCGGGTTATTAATGCTTCAGAAACTCAATGCTATGTTTTAATTTGGGTCACATGCACCATTGTTAATGTGGTAATCTACCTTGCGTTGTGTTCTTAATGGACTTAATTCCTTTGTCTCAATTACTTCATGAACATAATAAAAACTTAACCACTTCCCATCACATGCTTTATTTTTAGCTGCCCCCTAAAAACTTCAATTTTTCGGCCACACCATTTCAAGTACGAAAATATTTTCATAACGCGTGCCGAGTTGCACCCGCACATATGGCGGACGTTCCTCTGGAACACTGAGGTTTCGCCCTGAAATTGCAGTTGTGTTGGAAAACAAAGACCAAAACAATGCAGTATGATCATTAATGAACAAAATGTATAGGTTTCATTGCACTTCCACAAAGTTCGATTTTTTACCCATGTCGTGCTAGAACTGGCGATCCGCCCAGTGTGCGGTGGCGGGCAAGATCTGATGGTGGGTCCGTGGTGTCATTCGCAACAAGCTGAGCTTGGCGTGGCACCCGGGCCCAAAGCCCAATTCATCCATTCGGAAGAAATTTCCAAAAAGTATAATATTGATTTACAAATTAATTAGTTCACTTCGCAAAGAATCGTTTTGGATCGAAGCTTTCGAGATGTGATTTCGAATAGCTACGACCCGAAGCGATTCATGTGTGGTTAAGTTGTTTACTCGATAACTTTTCCAAATTTTGCGTCATATCATGAGATGTATCGGTTTGCAAATACAGGTAGCTGTGTTGTTTTGCCCCCCCCCCCCCACACACACACACACACTTTAACCACACTTGTCTGACTCAGCTTCACGGACGTTCAGATATGATCTTCTGTTGTCACAGAGCCTCATCACTGAAAAGAAGATGGAAATGGAAAGGCTTCGAGTGGAGTACGAATCTCTTCTGAAGGTGCAGGCGGATCAAGAACAATTAATAGAGGACTTCGTGTCACAGAAGTGATGGACTTTGGTCGTTGAAGCCTGGCTGTCCGGTCCCAGGCAAGGAGCCCGGGGCGTGATCTCATGCATCCGTCCGTCACTCTCGCTCTCAGCTCTTTATATTGCAATGGGCCATTGTATGGGTCCCTGACTTGTCTTTGCTGCTGTGTTATCGGCGCTCAGAAATTTTCACCGTGCCCTGATTCTTACAGCTGCACGGCGTGAAAGCACTACTGAATTATCGGGCCATTGTCGCGCACTCACTGTTACGCTCCGTTGCCGTGCATATCTGCCAAGACGCTGAGCGCTACGAACAGCGGACGGCAGTTATGGCACGAATTTATGTAATCGTGTACAGAAAAACGCTTGACGTATTAGGGGTGGCCGCTAGCATGTATGACGTGTTAATATATCCACCATTTTAGTGAAAATGTTTGCAGGTAACAGAAATTATATGCTGATGATTTTTCTTAGTCTGAATGACACTGAGAAAAAGGGAGAGAGGACCAATGTTCCAGTTGAGTTCACTGAGGAGATGTAGGTCCATATACTCGTATGCCCTTGGACCCGTATGTTAAAGGGACTATCCCACCTTCTAAAATGTTGTTAAAACCAGTTAAATTGTGCCCGACTTTATAGATTGGATGACCAGGAACACGGTTCTGGCATTTATTTTTCATTAAACATCTTAGGCTTCCCATATTCAAAACACAAACTTTCAAATATGTGACGTCACAGCCCAAAATTACCTCCTTCCCCAGGCCACATTACTGTCATAAAGCTGATTCTTTTTACTCTGTAGGCACCACAACAAAGTTCAGACCAAGTTTTAAGCGATTTTTCAACGAACAAACCCATTTAAATCAGAATGACTAAACGAGGTGACGTCACACTAACGGTCGCTCCATGTTGAAGAAGGGCCTTGCACAAGGCCCATTTTCAAACGAAGGGAAAGAAATTCTTCAACACCAAGAGGCCGCGGGGGTTGCAACCTAGATAGATAGTGGTTTCTGAACCTCGCTGCAAACTTGACTATCTCAACTCAAACCCCATGTTAAAGGTGGGATAGTCCCTTTAACCCTCGGCGGCCGAGGAGAGGGGGGGGGGCGGGTGCCCCCCCCCCCGGGGTTGTTTTCACGATAGCTCCGAGCACGCCTGCGATAGAGAGCTAAAACTGCATACCTGACCTTCGC